AAATCGCATCAGAGATTTTCTGCCATGCTCTCGATAAAATTAGAAACATTATAGAAAACATCTTCGTACTTGCTTCTAGTATCGAGTTTCGACTTTCCGTCATTAGCAACTAACGATGCACAAGACAAATAACTGCGAAATCATCTGTATCGGGCACGTGCGAAGGTCGAATTTCTCAATTAAAAATCATCGTTAAAAATGTCTTAAAATCCGAATTAAAAATTAACATCAACAAAAACCTGGTAACTTGTAGCCTGTAAAAAAAAATTCAATCACTCGGAATTACAAATGTAACTACAAATAGCTAATAATATATATTTAACGGTTTAGCAGTTTGCAACATCAATATCTGCGATATCAATAGGCAAATAAATAATGCATTGGCGGGGGAGATGAGGGATTTCGGCGTGATTTATCCGAAATCAAAAACTGGTCGACGCGAGTGCGTTAAACACGATAAATGAACAGGATTGAATTATAACGATACATCATTACACGATAATGCGGATTAAATCCGCGAGTACTGTACGTTAACTTTGTTCGATATGTATCCGCCAAACGAACTCACTCGTTTATCAATTAAAACCAGCAAACGAAGATCCGCACGCGATGTCATAACGCCAAGGATCGCTCTGATTAAATTAATATCCCGATTACGGCGTAATACGCAGCCAAGGGTAGAGTTGTACGTACACTTCCAGGGTACTCGTGTGTACGTATATGTGTATGTTTTTATAACAGTATTGGAGCATAATAGGTAACCGTATGCAGTTATACACGCGGCCAGAGTACACAATCTGGATATTGACTCTGTGTCGATTAATGATGAACAACACAGAACAACGAGAACGGTCAAGCTATTTAAACTAGATTAATATCAAATCGTTGTTGAATTAATTATATGTTCTTGGCACAATTTTATAAATGCCTCGAGCGAGCACCTCTCTGAGCATCGTGAGATTCTCACCGTGGTGTTTAACTCGATTACAGAAATATCGACACCGCAGATCTTCAACGGCTTGTGGTGTACGGATTTTTAGAACTTATCTACGAATTTTCCGAGGATGTCGGGTGACATTTCCTCTATTAGACTATCGGGTTTCCGGGAATGCGCTGATAAACGGATCTCACCTGTACCGTCGTAGCTGCTCCGACCAGATTGTGACCGCAATCGATACATCAATCCCAATTAACCCGCGTCTCTCGCTTTCCGCGAATCCAGTAATAATCCCGAGTTCTCAGATTCATAAGTGGCGCATTTCTCCGATCCAATCGACCGCGTCATTTCTTTATTCTTACCGCGACTATATTTAAACACGATCATATCTGTCTTTAATCACCGCGTTAATGTATGAAACAAAAACTAGTGTCGATCATAACGCGTCGTGCAATTTATAACTGCGACAGAAAAAAAAACCTGGACTATCGAGAAAACAAAAATTTTAAAATCCGATTCCTCGATCACAGGATCGAATCATTTTAAGAGAAATTTGTCTAGATACCTTTTTCGCAACTTCTTCATTTTTTCTCAATTTTTTTCAAGACTCGAGAATCGAATTATAGACCTAATTTTCGCAACAAAAAATATAATAAAAAAATTATCAACGATTCTCGCGTTGCGAGTTCCAATAGAATAATAACCTCAATAATCCAGGCATTTTCCGACACTCACTATATATTCTTCTTTCTTCCATCTTTCTTTCTCGCGCCAGGGAGATTACGATCGATCGGTAAAGGCCATCGATGGATGAATGGCGACGGCCGCGAGTGTAATCGCGAGAGTCGTTGTGAGAGAGCGAGAAACGCGACGGCCTCCAGAACGTAGAAGAGGCTTTCGCTCGTTACGCAAATACGTAGTTCCACGAGAGACGACGGGTGAGAAGGAGGGCGAGGCGGAGGGGGTCGGCCTTGACGAAAAGAGCAGACCTCGCCGGCTGTTCGATGACCTAGGTGAGGTAGGCGGGAACGTTGCGGACAGGTAATCTGATAATGTCGTTCATTACACACCTAAATCGCGAATTAGCGAAGTCTTCGTGCAGAGGGAAGAGGAGAAATTCGTCCGTCAGAAACACACGTCGAAGACTCCAATATTATATTAATTAACTACCACGAAGTGGCCACTTTACGCTCGTTACGAACGTAGATTCTAGTTATCTTAATGCAAGAGAAACAACTGCGTCGTTCGCAGCGCGGCTGAAAACGCAATTAGTAAAACGATAGGTGGCGATGGGAGTATCGATTGCCAAACTGTCGATGCGAAGATGGAAACCGCGTAATTACATATATAATACCGTTCGCATCTCAGAGCGAGACGTTTTTTCCAAGCCGAGGAATTTATTATTGTGAGATTCCTTGTGTAAAAGAAAATTTTGCCATTCACATCATTCACTTCGTCATTATGAATTGTATTCCATTGACTAGCGGCAACGATGTGAACAAGATAATCTCGTATGATTGAAATTGTGCCCAGTAATAGAAATTGACATATCTTTATCTTATCTTTTTCAGGCTGCAATGTTCGGGATAGAACCTGCTTAAAAAATTAATACGAAATAAGCACTTAAATATATGGAAAGGGAATGAGGAATTAAGTATAAAAAAAGAACTAAAAATAGTTTTGGTATATTAGAAGTCATTGATTTATAATCAAAGGATAATAAGATATTCAGTGATCAAAAGTAACTTTCTGCTTTTAATTTATTTTATATATAGTTCCTTGCAAAGCAACTTCTAAGAAATAGGGAATTAAACATAAAGAATTAGGAATAGGAAAGGAATAGGAAATTAGTTCCCGTATATTAAAAGCCATATTTTATTTTGATGCATAATCAAGAAAAAGGAATATTCTTTCAGCGATCGAAAGTAAAATCCTGCGCACAGGAAATACTAGAAACAGAAATAAATATTAAATTTTAGAAATTTAATTTTTAATGATTAAAAATGACACATTGTACGTTACATTTAATCTTTATTTTTAATTTTTATATTTTCAGATTTTTGTTCCGAATTTTTATTTCCAACTTTCTGTTCCCTAAATCTTTATATTTAATTCTTTACAATACGACTTCTTCTGGCCGTTTTAATGTACGCGGAAGATTATGCAAACAAATTCGTGTAGTGACACATGTGGATCACCTGTCTCGTGGATCACCCGCAGCCTCCGCGATTTATTTTGTTTTCCACGTGAGACGCACGTATAAAGCAGAAGGCGGGCAACCTTTCAAAGATGCCACCTTGCCACCAAAGTAAAATTCGACGAAGAAATCCGGCCAAGTCCGCTGGGAATTACCACCCTCGATTTACCGCCGCTATTTGTGTTTCGTCGATAAAGAAATTAACCCGCGTCTCCGCTCTCGCGACCTCCGCAATTACGCACCCAATCGCACGCGTGGAATCGCCGAGACATTTTTAAAGCCGCACCGAAAGACGATTACAGCATCGGAAATAATAACTCTTATGAACGACCGTTCTGTAAAAATAGGGATGAAAAGAATCTCGGGCGAGAAAGAGAGCCAAGCAGAGAAGAGAGAGAGAGAGAGAGAGAGAGAGAGAGAGGAGGAGGAGAGAGAGAGAGAGAGAGAGAGAGAGAGAGAGAGGAGGGAGAGAGACGGGTAGATGAAAAAAGAGCGATCGATGCGAACGGTCGGCCGAGCGAGCACTGCCATCTCCCTCCCTCTCTTTTCTTCTCCCTTGCCAATTCGTCGTCTCATAAACGCTCCGATTTATCGGCTTCGATTGATAATCAACTAGGACCCGGATACATCCTCATGAGGTATCCTTCCCTCTCGATAGCCCGGCAACGTGCGAAGAATTTCGTCGCCGGCCGCGAAAGCAACATGGCGGCGAAGAACCGAGACGACGGGCACTCCTCGCTCTCTCTCCTTCTCTCTTTCTCGCACGGCGTCTCGTGCGTCATCGGTACGGCAAAGCGGCCGCCTTCAGGCCATCGGTTACGACGTAGCCGAGAAAGAGCGAGCGAATCCGTTGGCTCGTGTCTCCCCGATGCAGAACCCGGAGATCCGCGACTCGATCTCGCCGATCTCCCCGAAGACGAGGAAACGTACGATGTGATCGCCGCCGGCGAGATTCTTGACGGCGAATTGCCCGACGTCGACGACGATAATGATGATGATGATGATGACGATGACGATGACGACGACGACGACGACGACGATGACGATCACGACAACGACGACATAACGTCGTCGTCGTCGCCGTCAGGCGGCATGGCTACGGGGTCCACACGGGCCGCGTTGCTGCGCACGTCGCGCGATCCGCCGCGGCTCGTGGCGACGATGATCGCGACCGCGTCGCCGGCACCACGCTCGGCAATCGTGCGGCAGCTAGACAGGATAGACTCACCTTCGGAGTGCTGTAAGCGGCCTGGGAAATCGGGCTCTCGACGTGTTCAACAGCTACCGTTCACTACGCTCTCGCTGAATGCACTGGTGCGACCAACGGAAACCGCCATCTTGCCGGGCGCTCGCGCGCCCACTTCCGCCGCGACGCGGCGCGACGGTTTGAATTGCTCGCCTTGCGCGAGCGTGGATTGCTCCAGAAAATAGATATTTTTTTGTAAAAAGGGAAAATAATATTAGAAAGAATGAATGATTAATTACATTCGTAATTTTACATATAGTGATAATCAAAGTTTAATCAGAATGAAAATCTAAGAGGAATAAATTGAGATTTGATCAAACGATATTTACTTCTTTCAAAAGAACTATTATCCTATTCTTGTAAAATCAGGAACCTTCTTTTAAAAACTTGATTTAAAAATATAAAGATTTTTAATATAGTGAATAGTTTTTCAAAAATAAAAAAGGAAATAATCCGAGGAAAGAAAAATAACAATTACCTCTACAAGAATATAAATTAGAAATAATTTTATTCATAAAGTTAATATGAAAATTAAAATTAAAGTTGGAAAATTTTTGTCTACGAGATATCAAATCGTAAAAGAAAACCACCACGTTTTATTCTAATTGCTACGTATGGCGCCCTCTACAGAACGTTTGAAATCCATATCATATATGCGAGCGTATGACAGCACATGGTGTTGGAATAAATTTTAATCCAAAGTAATTTTGTAATTTTTTTTCTTAATTCGTGAGAGAAGCCTATTTCTAAGATGCCGAAATCGAAGAGGGATAAAAAAAGTAATTTTCCAGAGTAATATCATATATTTTTATATATTTTCGAAAGGATTTTTATAAATTAATTGCACAACTAACCTCCAAAAATAGTTTTAAATAAGTTAATTTTATATTTATTATAGCTTTATTACACTTAATTTAAAAAAAAATTTTTTTATATCTTTACAATAATAAAATAAGATATATATGACATAAACACATTTACACAAACCATTTCTCTATATAAGAAATGTGAGATAATTATTTTTCGATCATGACTGGATTTTAGTATCTAAATTTAGTACCTAATTACTTATACATATATAAAATGTTCATGTATTTTTGTTACAGTTTCTCTTACTAAAACTAATAGAAAGGGTTTAGTTTTAAAACAACGGATTATGGAAGATGTTAAGAAATGTGTAGAAGAATACAATCGCATATTTCTAATTTCTATTCAGAATACACGCAACACTAAACTCCTCGAGTTACGTACTGAATGGAAAGATAGTAAACTTTTTTTCGGTAAACTCAGAATAATTGCCTTGGGCCTAGGAAAATCAAGAGAAACCGAAGTTGCGGAAGGCATACATAAATTAGCTAATGCATTAAAGAATCACTCGATGAAAGGCCAGTGTGGTCTGTTATTCACTAATAGGCCAAAGGCACAGGTACATAATATATAAAGTCTCATGACATTAAACTGAAAGTAAAATTTAACAAGCTAGATTTTATACTTATAAGAATATAAAAAATAAGATTATATTTTATGTCTATAAATAATATTAGGTAATAGAATGGGCAAAGGATTATGAAGAAATGGAATTTGCACGTTCTGGATTTGTAACACCTGAAACAGTAGAGTTACCTGAAGGACCTCTGCCACAGTTCCAACATAGCATGGAACCGCAGTTGCGACAATTGGGTATGCCTACATCGCTACAAAAAGGAGTTATCACTTTAATCAAACCATTTAAAGTTTGTCAGAAGGGTGATGTATTGAAACCAGAGCAGGCACAAATTTTGGTATATGTTATTTTTTTATAAGTTGGAACATTTTTTATGATAAGTTAATGTACTGAAGCTATAACTATTATAAATTTTGATATCTTGTAGAAATTATTGGATAAACCATTAGCAGTTTTTAAACTTCTGCTATTGGGAGTATACACTAAAAAACATGGTTTTAAGAAATTGACAATACCAGATGTCGCGAAAGAGAATGATGAAGAAGAAATGGACGTGGAGAACAATGATAATACATAATTTAAGGATATATTATATAACTTTAGAGGAAAAAAATATGTACATATACGATTTGATACATAAATATATATTTTCATATATCATCATATATTTTCTTTATAATTTACTACTTTCGTTTAAATTTATAAAATTTCCATAGCATGTGTTTTATATGTTACGAAATTATATTCAAATATCTAAAATGTGACAAATGAATGCTGAATCAATAACCTAAATATGTCAAAATTTTTAGTGTTTTAAATAATATAATTTTATAAAATATAAAAATAAATAAAATATGCAAGTACTCATTTTAACCATATTTTGGACAATCTGTATATTATGGGTAAATGAAATTTAATATATTTTTCAATTTACTGAATTTTTATACGCTACATTTTTATAGATAATTTCATTAATTATATTTTATATAATTCATGTAATTTCATATTTACAAATATTTTTAGCTCATATATTATTGGTATTTATCTCCCCAAAAAATCGATGATAAACCTACAGTGGTTTTCAATTTTGATTCTGATAGGAGACACAGTATATCTTCTATTGAATCTTTCGAACACTCAGATAATGAAAATACTAGAGGAAAAAATATAAAAAAATTAAATTGTAAGGTACATAATTGAAATTAAATATTTGTATTTAAAGGATCTTGTATACGCAATAAAAATTTAATTTATAAGCCACTGTAACATATTCATAAAATATAATATTGAATTTCAGCTTAAAACTCGTTGGCCAAGTAGAACGTTGATAAAAGGAAGATTTTACAAATAATTCTAAGACATATTTCGAATTCAAAATAATTTTTATGAAATTTTTATAAAATTATTAATGAAATATATTTTCGTATAATATAAACATAAGATGTTTCAGTACTTACATTGAAATATATGGCTAATAAAAAGAATTCGTATATGTATAACGTTAAATTAATAATAATATTTTTACAAAGTCATTGTATTCATGATTGTAACAAAATATAGCCACTTTCATAATTTTTATTATTTATGATTCCAAAAGATACAGATCATACATACATTTATTATTATATTGAAGTTTAGGGATGTGCTAATACTGCTAAGAGATAAGAACTAAATAAACTAATTCCAAAACGTATTTTGCATTACGATGAGATCATCTTATAGAGATACATCTTACTTAATATGATACTATTACTGACACATTATTGAAACTTAAGTAGATGTATTACATCATCTTATACAACACAAATTTTATACTAAGTCATAATTTTTTCACGTTATCTCTGCTAAAAATAAAATTATATAATAAAAAGATATACCTATAATTATAATTACAACCAATGTATTTATCACTTTTATGTGTTATATTCAATTTTTTTCAATCCTTTAAAGAGATTTATGAAAAATGGAAAATTTCATTAATGCAACAACAATGATTATATCCATGTAGTATAAACAAATAGTAAAGAAAACAAAATAAAGAGAATTATAAACAGATCTTGTCTAAATATATTTGTACCAAGAATAATGCTTTTAACAAAACGGATAAATACTATAAATTAAATCATTATAAACTTACAATATAAACTACATCGTATCATAATAATCAATCATAATAATCAATTATTATATAATAATCAAAAATAATAGTTCATTTTAAGTTTGTTCTAAATCAACAATACAAAATATATACAATATTTCTTTTTTGTCACAAATTCCTGTCACTCTGTGCTATTACATATTAAATAAAGATGTTTTTAAAGTTAATCGTACTTCGTCCTGCAACTTTCCTATCTTGTTGTCTTATAGTGAATGCATTATCATGTAATAAAAGACATAATCTATTGTGAATATGACTCTATCCTCTTTGGTTGGATACCGTTGTACGTTTGTTGCTTCAATCGCATGACTCGAGAAATATGAGGGATGAATCTGTCAACGTTATTTTTATACGTTAACTAAAACAATGATGATAACTTAAACTACATGTCAAAAATATTTTAGGTAACATACAAAAGCAGATAGAATGTATTTGAAAGACAATCATGATTGAGAAAAGAATAATTAAATAACAAATAAAAATTACGTCACAAATGGATTACGGAATACAGAATAGATTCATATTTTAAATGATTATCTTAACGCGTAGATGTTCAAAGAAAATCTACGTCTGTAAACGTAATCTACTTCATAATTCCTAGTTTGATCAGAATATCACAATATAAAAATGATAGCATTATTTCGAGGATATGGCAATTTCACAGCACACTAACTTAATCGAGATCTTATACAAAAATAAATTATAGCTTTCTGAAATTATAACTATCTAAAAATAGGGAACGTAAGCAGTGAATACTCAACTATCCGCCTGCTAAAACGCACCTTACGTCCTAGAATATCTTGCTATCAATTACTAAGCGAAATTCCAGCGCAGTTCAATGTAGAAAATTGATGACGCGTGTACGTAGACAATTATATGCTCGTATCAAACTTGCATGTGTGCAGTAAGCGAGGTTCTGTAGCAGGAGCCACGAATACATAGACGATTAGTGCTACGCGAAAAAGATTAAAATTCTTTCAGTTAACAATTTCCAAAAAGTACTCTACACCAATTTTGACAATAAATGTCATTTGGAACAATTTGCATATTTTAAAGTATAGTGCGCGATACAAGGCTCACTGTTAGTTACATTGTAAAGCATATAGTTATACTGTATCTAGTTTCTAGGCACGCTGTGCACATTGATTGGTGTGATTAATCCCACTAACATATAGAATGTATTTAATATAATTCAAAATTTTTTATCATTAAAATATAACGAAGTTGGAATGTTTTAGCATATATATGATACATCGATGAAATTTATTTTTGAAGAGAGATTATATATACGCAATGAAATTTACTCTTATCATAACTTATATATATAAATGATACAATCATATATACAAATATATATATAAGGTTAAATACATTACAATTTTATTGTTATATATATATATATATATATATATATATATATATATATATATAAATTATATATCTGTACCATTTACATATATATTATTACATATAATTTTTATACATAAATCTTTCTTAAATTTTTTGATAACAATTTCTTCATATCTAAAAAACAAATCTCAAAAAATACTAAATGTCTGCATTAGCGAGATTTTCCTAACGTTGGACAATCACACCTATCAAAGTCACTACAATCAACGCATGGAGTATAAAAGTTAGCTAAATATGATAATCGTCGTTCATAGTCCAAGCAGGTGACGGTTGTAGAGAAAGGAAGTTTCTTAGGTAGCTTGAGCATAAAGTTCTTCGAGTTTCGATACTTCAGGTATCGGATCCCGCCAATACGCAAAATTACTAAACTCATCGGTTGCATCCTCTCGCCATGCCGGATACACATGATCGACGATGAAACTCATGTTCGAATATCTGCAATAAGAGAATAAACAAAAATTGCAAGGCACGTGTCAAACACGTTTTTATATCCTTGTGCTGTCAATATGGCTAAAAAAATGAAAGTTTTAATGTTTGGCATCCACAGCTGTTTATATAATATGAATTAACACATAAACCAAAAAAGATATTATGAATAGCATCAATTAAAATATTTTTTAACATATACTGTTAATATATAAAATAATCATATGGCGAAATATATCAAATAATTGAATTAAAATATAAAATTTATACAACGTAAAAATCCAAAATTAGATTGAGAAATATATACAGTATAAATTATGAGAAAAATATAGACATGAAAATTGTAAATCATATAAATTATAGATTGATTAGAAATCAATATAAACAATGATAGCATAGCATATACACACAGCTTAAAAGTTAAAATTATTTTATAAGAATTATCTTATAAAATAACTAATATCAGTAATGTTTTGATAATATCAGTAATGGCAGAATCACAGTTTATGCGAGAGAGATTGTGAAGTGCTTGGTTGAAAAATTATGAATGATAAGCAAATAAGAGATAAAATGAGTTTGATCATAAATAATTCCTTTCTTATATTCAACTATTTGAAAACATTATGAATTAAGTTAATGCCATCCCTTCTTTTCCCATTATTGTCTGAAACAAATGTACTGAAAAATGTACGTTGCTCCCAATGATGATATGTTAGAATAATTAAAATCCAAAGCATATCAAGCAGTGATAAAAAAAGCAAGTGTGTACAAAACAAGTGCTTACCCTATAAATCATAAGAAGATAGTAGTTGGCGCACAACCAAATATACTCCAAAATGTAATACTAATATATCTAATTACATTTACGTTCGACGTATCCGATTTAAATATTTGTACTTGGAAATGAGTTTTCCTGAGTCTGTCATATTGTTCGCATATTCTTACAAAATGTGTTTATATAAAATATATATTAATTTTCTACTTATATTTTAACTTTCTACTATATTAATTATCAGGAAACGAAGCGCGATCATGCATTATGCATTATGCTTGCCAACAATCCAAACATAATGCAACAATGTGTTCAAGCCGAATATGCCACTGGTATTACTGTATGTTTCAATATAATTAATTTAATTAATGTTTGCTAAAATTTATGGTTGTGCTATCAGTAGACGTTTGGCATAGGTTGTGGCGGGAACAAGTCATTGACGATATTGCACTGACGCACATAACTGTAATCACAGAAATATCCGACCTATCAATATTCTCTGAGAACTTGCATTTCCATTCGTTTTTTTCAACCAATAACTCCATTTTTAATACTCAAGCCCTTATCACAGTATTTAGTAGGAAAAGCGATGTCCAGTTTTAAAATTTTAAAACTGTAGCACATTTAGAAAAAATCTGGATTATAAAAGCTGTTAATGAGCTCTGGATACAAAAATCGATTAGAAAGAAAAACAACAATATTAAATATATAAACTACATAACACAAAATAAAATTAGCAGCAATCAGTTGTGGATCCCGTTTGCAAAACACACAATTACTTTAACGTTAATTTTGCTTGAAATTAATAAAATAAAATATTTAGTAATAAAATATTTAGTAGCATCAGTATACCAATTAAAAGATTAATAAAAAAATGTTAGAGGATAAAAAGATTTTGTGTGTTAGAAGTGTAAAAAAAGTAAAATAGTGATTAAAATGCACACATATCTTTAACTCTCTGATTCTGCTGTTATTTTTCTTGGCACAAATAAAAACCATTTATTATTTTAATAAAAACGACATTAAATGCGATACTTACGAAGATTGGAATGTCTGTGTCAATTCGTGCTTCAATTCTCCTCGATGGTTTATGGTAAAAATCCGCATTATAGGAATGCCAACTGCTCGATACGCCCATACATCCTATACATATAACACATTTTCTATATAAATTATTCTTTTCACATTGTAATTAATAAAATAAGATTTATTGTTCGTACATTTATGCGATTCCCATATCCAGCGTAAAATGGCGCAGAGCCTTCAGGGAATAGCGCTTGAATATCTTTCAGACAAGATATCTTGAATTCTTCCGGCTTCTTTTCTATTACCTCGCGATGGAATGCCAAAATTAAGCTTGTAGGATTCAAGAGTAATGGGCCTTCTGGCAGCGAAAGATCTCCTTGTCTCAAATTCCTCAGATATTCCCGAGTTCCTCCAGCCTGGCCGATCGCTCTCGCCGAAAGATATAGCAGCTTGTAGCCGTTATTTTTGATCTTTGTGAATAATTGAGCGACCCCGGATTGAGCCCAGTCCTTGCCCACTATCGGTAAAATGTGACCTAAGACGTCCGATTTCGTGATGGTACCATCGATATCAGAGATAACGATCTTGTCATCCCATTTCCATTTATAGATATGGCATTTGCAGCGCTTCGTACCCTGGTAAGCGGTAGTTACGCTAAAAACTACTTCGTTAGCACCATCCTTCAGCTCGAGGCTTGCCTGTAGAAAAATTAAAACTCAGTCTCTCTTTTGTTTATACTTTACGCATTTTAAGTTGTATGGCATATGCGAGAACACTTACTATCTGTTCAGATGACAGTCGTAAAGTTTTACGATATTTCTCCGTGGACTCGTAATATGGTCTTCGTTCTACAGGTATCTTAATACCCGTTGGTTCATTGTGATTACTGTCGGAATCCTCACCGCCGCTGTAACCCTCCCCCTCACCTTCACGCGTTTTCTCAGTCTTCGTCAACGTAGTTTCATTAGGAGCGTTTGTCAATCTTGAACAAGTTTCTATTGTCTCAGTTGAACTTGATGAGTCTGCGTTTTGTTCAGTCTTTACTTCTCTGCAAAGATTTAATTAATAAAAATAAAAAATTATGTGTAGAAAATATATTAAATGCAAAAAATTATCAAGAGATTTACCTGTTAGCAGAGGGTAATTCATCATTTGTTACATTCTTAACTTCCAAAGATTGTTCAGATGTCTGTACAGCAATTTCGTCGTCTGTAATAAATCAATAAAAATCATATTTTAATATAATTTAATTTTGAAATAAATGTAATTATTTTATATTTGTAAAAATTAAAAATTCGTTAAAATTAAAAGTTTAAGGAATCTTACTTTGACTAATATCCTGTGATTTTTTGGGAGGTTGGGTCGAACGTCGCCAAGAAAACCATGAACTATAACCACTACGACTTTCAGGCTTACCGCTGCTCTGTCGCTTCTTATCCTCGTGCATTGGCAATGACATATACAAATTTTCGATTGCACTTTGTGGTAAGTGTCTTTGGAAAACGACGTAGGTCAGCACTATCGGACAAGCTGTAGCCCAATTGTAGAATTTTCCATTGATCCTCACGACCAGATTCGGATTTTCGTATAGTTTTGGATCAGTACAAACATCCTCGAAGTGCAGTAAATTTTCGTCGAAAGCCTCTTTGGACGGTCCGTTTTCACTGTCCAAACCACCGCACAGAGACATACTTATTTCTATGTTATTATCGAAAATAGAATGCTTTGGTTCCTCGAAATCACTATCTAAAGATTTCGGTCCACCGATGGCTCCCTCAACACTATTGGGACTCTGAGGTAGACTTGGCCCGTTACCTGATTCTGTGTCTTCCTCGTCCATTGTTTTTCTATCTGTAATAAAACATATATGGTATATCTTCTTTGTATAAAAAATGAAAATCACATAACAATCACATGAAAAAGAATATCACAGAATAAGAACACAACCACAGTTTTAATTAATAAAAACAATTTTATATTATATTTTATATTTAAATTTTATTTACATATATAAATATAGTAGCTGTTAGTTATTTATCTTTATCTATTATTATCACAAAGTTAGAAATAAACTTTTTCTTTCCCAAAAACAAAAACTCTGAAACTCGTTAATTGTATAAAATTTTAATTGTGTTAAATGCGTCAAGAGTATTTTCAATAATACAAAATGTTTTTAATTCCATAACCATAACACAAAAATTAGAAGAAATATATTTACTGATGTGTTAGTTTCGATGTATTTTTAACATGCATGTAACATGCAAAAGCAAAAGCGAGTTTACCATATACCTTTAACCATCGTTGAACCTCGATGAGAGGAGGGAAAGTATAAAGCCGCAACTTCGGGGTCCAGTTCGTCGGCATTAAGATCACTAAGATAAATTCCTTCTGACTCCGGATTGTGTCTTACGCGAGAAGTCTTCTTCATAAAGGAGAACATGCCACTGAGCATAGATCGTTGTGCATCTTCTGCCATTAAAAAAGCGGTTAGCAAATAGTTAGCGATTAAGCGTTTGAGTTAGCTTTTTTCATGGAAAAAAAGAAAAGATTAAAAACTTTACGACACTGACTTGTTAAATTTGATTACGTGTAACAGAATCAGGCATATTAGTTCTTTTGTGATGAACGAACGATCGATAATAGCACTTTCCATTTAGAATCGAATAATGAGATGTAAGGTTAATTATGAACGGCGTATAGTTTGACACGTTTGACTATAGATAAGGACAATAAAATCATTACTAACTATTCGGCTGATTGGTTGTTGTCAAAGAATTCAGCGAATTCCTATGAGATATGTGCGCCGACTCCGGAGGTGGACTGGGCAATTCACCCCATCTCCAACTTTGCTGATGACCCTTGTCGTCCTCCCTCTCGCTACTCTCTTGAGTAATTTTACGCACTTCGAATTCCGTATCTGACTGGATAGGTGAAGATGGTCTGGAGTCCTTATTTCTTTTCAACACATTATAACACGTTAATACATAAATCTATGTATATTATTCTATATATATTTTAAACAAGAAAAATATTAATTACATACTTGGTAACTTCTGAATCACTGAAGAAATGGAAATCAGTTTCAGGTCGTTTCTCAATTGCATCCTGAGGGGATGTCGCTGATTCCGCAGCAATATTTTTCATTTCGTCTTCTGCGATCGGAGTGGGACCCTTAAATATTTTAAATAAATAAGTATGTTAATATAACAGTAAAAAATATAACGCTCATTAAAATGATATTATTTACCGTTTCGCTAACTGATTCCTCGGTAAAAACTGCATCGGTCTCGCTCAATTCTGTCTGGCTGCTACTCCCATTGCTGGTCTTTCTCTGTGAGCCTTTCTTCTTCATGATACTCTTCCTTTTACGTTTCCTTTTTGTCGAATTGTTATTCTTTCCCTCATCAATAATTTCTTCCTTCAAATTTTTCTTGCCCGAATTTGACTCGTCACTAGATTTCTCTTTACTGCTACTTTGAGGATCATCCGTAATTGGCCTAAAGTCATTCTTTACTACGCTAATCTTACGAATTCTTTCAGATGAAGTAACAGCTACGAAGGATTTCGGGCAAGAAGAAACCGCCGATTTCGGCTGCTCGTCACTGATGGCGTCCATATCAAATATCTCTTCGTCTTCGTTTTTGTTGTGCTTCTCTTCCCATTTCTCTTCCTTTTCCTTCCAATCGCTCAGTAAAGCTTTCTCGAAGCTTTGTCTCTGCTCGATCGAGAGTTCTGGAAAATTTTCTTTGAATAGTCTCTCCTTATCCTCCGTTTTTAAGGCGAAATACTGTTCCCTGATCATCTGCTGCTTCTGCTCTGGAGATATCGTGCCAAAGCTTTCCTTGAACATCTCGTCTCGCTCCTCCGCAGTCAACGAAGCAATCTGAAGCCATTTCTCACGATGTTCCGCGGGAAGATCTGAGAACTGTTCAATCAGAAACTTTTCCCGTTGATCCGGCGGCAAGGCGGACATCTGCTCCCATTTTTCTCGCTCTATGGAAAGAACCGAGTCTATGAGAATCTTCTCTCTCTGTTCCTGAGGTAGATCTGACAAAAGGTTGAACTTGGGTGGCGGAAAGCAATTGTCAGGTATGGGTGAGCAAGCCAAATGTGGTGGAATTTCAGTATCTGTCGGAGATCCATTCGAGCTAACTTCTTCTACAAAGAACGCCTCGCCGGAATCTCCAAGTTTCATATGAATTTCCCTAGGTTCTCCATTTATCTCGATATCCACCTGTAAAAACATTCCTCATATACATCCTCATATAATCTATCCTATCTTTATTACAAATGTGATCATGTATAAAAAAGTATAACTTCCTGATTTAATGTTCATTTCTTCAAGAATAGTACATCTAACATTTTCTTAAAAATATATTTATTAAAAAAATATTAAAAACTTCTTTAATTGATATTATTAATAAAGAAAAAAAAATTATTACGTAAAATACTTCAACAAAAAATATAAATTTCTGATTTAATATTCATTTATTCATTTTTTAAAAATGACATATCTTAAGATTTTTTTAAAAAAGCTGCATCTAGTAAAAAAGTGATAATTCATTTCATAAATAATTAATTATGTAAAATACATAAATAAAAAATACTCAAGTATGAAAATAAATATAATTATAATTCAATATTTCGATAATCAATTCAAAAAATACTGATTGAAAAGAAATAACAGTGATTTTCAAACGGCGCACGGGCGCTTTCTAAATTCATTATTGTCGCATTCGCGATAAATTGCCGGTAATAAGCGTAAAAACCCGCTGAAGGACTCACCACTTTCGCCCTGGAGCGGAGCACTCCGAGCTTGCCGAAGCGGACATGGAAAGGCGAGCACGTGAAGGAGCCGTCCGGCTGTTCGACGACAATGACGTCGATCGCGCCAGTGAGAGTCGCGGCGTTGATCTCGTTGTAAAAGAGACGGAAGTTGCTGATGATCTTGGCGATATAGTTCATACTGTACATGTCCTAAGCCCGCGCACCACCAAGGCCGCGGAACTCGATCGACGTGTGGGACGGGAAGGGGCCTGAGAGGAGGAGGAGAAAGAGAAAGAGGAGGACAACGCGAATCGGCGGAGTGTTATTCGAAATTCGCGGCGCGGCGGAAAGGAAACGTAATCACCACTGTCTTCGAAGATCTCTCGCGTGAGAGGGACAGAGAGAGAGAATGAGACGGAGACGGAGATAAAGAAAGATACGTAAAGAGCCGAGGATCGATTACTCCGCGCTCTCGGCGGGAATTAATCGGGATGATTCACTGCCTTGTCGACGGCTTCTCGTCGACCTCTTCGAGCCCGATGATACTAGGGAAACCAGGACTGCGGTCCAACCAACGACGGTCCACCGTCACGGCGACGGCGAGCTGTCAAACGCGCCTCACCGCGTACTACGATTTATTACGAACGCACTCCTCTCGACACTGTCACGACGTTGTGCGCGAATCCCGATCTGCGACCGCGTCTGAGATCAGGACGAGGGCGAGTGAGAGGTGCCCTTGATGCGAGACAAATACGCGAATCCTGGTTGCGATCTGCAACGAGAAGAGAACCGGAGGGTCGTCTCTTTGCGGAATCCTTTGTTCCCCCGTCGAGCGTACGTTGACAAGTGTATAGCCCGTGACACCGCCAGCAGACGGTAGTCCGAACTGACGTTGCGCAAGGCCACGTGACCCGGCCGAGCCAATCGGCGCGGCGGCCGCACCGGTGGTCGATACGGCGAGGTACCACGTGGTCAGCCGGCACGATTAGCGCGCGTTTCGAATCGAAGGCGCAGATCGCCTGGAACAAAGAAATGTGACATCAATGCCCACCTGTGCGCTCCGCTTGTGTGCGTGCGACGCGTGCATGCGTATGCACGAATCGATCAGTCTCGCCTCGTGCGTGATATCCGCATTCGCCATTGGCGAGATCATTTCGTGATACTTGACGCATCCGTGTCTTTTCCTTTCGTTTCCTCTCTTTCCTGTTTACTTCTATTTAATATAGATTATGTATATTAATTTCATTCTTTATTTTTTTCTAATTCTTAGAACTAAAAACAAAGATAATAAATGGTCGAATATAAAAGACAAAGAAATTCCGTCCATCGACAAAAAATATAGTTTTAGTTTAATTCATTCTTTTTCTTTTTTAATTCTTAGAATTAAAAACTTTTTTAATTCTTAAAATTAAAAACAAAGATAATAAAGTACAAAATAAAAGACAAAGAAGTTCAGCTATATTGATAAAAAAGGACATCCATTTGTCAGCAAAAAAAGAAATGTCTTTTGAAATGAAATGAAAATTGCAAAAATGAAAAAGATTACTAGTTTTTAGCATATGAAGTTACAGATTTTGTAGTGAATTTTCTCACTTTTATAATTTTCAACTCGTTTTAAAATACATCTTAATTTGGATCCATTTTGAATCCTCTTTTATCGATAAAAGTGCCTCTAAAAGTGACTTATAAACCTTCTGACTATAAGTCACTTTTAAAAGCATTTTTATCGATGAAAGAAAATTCAGAATAGAAACCTCGGATTTTAATTTCAGAAATCAGCCACGAAAAAATCCACCCCGTTCAAATCGAACAACCGCGAAGTTCCCGCGCTTAACCTCGGTCACATGACGAGGGCTACGATCAATGTAACACTACAAATGCTTTGAAGCGTTTGATTGTCCAATCAAAACAAAGAATTTTACTAATGCACCAATCAAAAAATGCTTCAAAGCATTAGTAAGTCCTTGACCGTATCCGAGATATCGGCGAACTTCACGCATGATTAATTTGGGGCAGTCGCCATCAGCTCCCCGCGCCGGTTCGGATCGGCGAATCGAATTGAACGTTCGTTATGGCCACGTAATATTGTTAATCGATCGTCTTTCGTCTTCTGAGAATTCAGCGAAACGGCCGAGGCGAAATGAGCGACTTGATGCGTCATTCAGCAAAGCTCGACGACGACGGTTGAAACTCGCAGAAAACCGACGCGAACGAGCTCGAACTGGGCAAGCCCGCGCCATTAACGGCCATTAGGTAAGAATCGCGGTTATTTCGGTCCACTCTCAACGAGGCAATTTCGAATGTTGGATCGAAGTCAGGAAATAATCAAGCGGAAGTTCCACGCGACGACCGGCAGACGATCGATATTATCGTGAGATATTTCAGTCGTGCCCAATGAGTCGCTCTTCCAATTCGAATCGAGACACGCGAAGCTTTTTCACGTCTATTCCTATCGATATAGATCAACTTTAATCTTTCTCTATCTCTTTCTAATTTTAGAGCTAAAACAAGATAAAAAATGAGTTATTTACTTAATTGAAAGAAATAGGGAACAACCAAATTTGATGATCATCAATTATTCAGAGATAGACTTTTAAAAATGATAAAGAGTCGAGGAAGATAATTTTTTATTTCATCAAAATTTTTTGATAGAGTCTCGTTCGAGAAGCGAGATTGACCAATCGCCATTTTGGAAAAATCGTTCTGGAAAATATAGTTACAAAATCGTGGTAAACACGGTTACGAAGTTCGATCGTTCCATCTGAATCGGTCGAAATTTAATAGAAAGGACGGGCATTTTGTTCTTTTAACGGCTCCGAGATTCGTCCGCTCGACGCTCGTCATCTCTCGTTAAATTAATCTGTCTTATCTCAAAGAATACGGAATAGTAACTTTATCGGTTTACGAATCGTTACGTGAAACGCTAATCGTTGGACTTTATCAATTTCAACGAAGTCGTCACGTAAGCCAAGTTATATTTAAAATATGCTTAGGAAGCAGTATGAATCGAGGTATCGCGTGATTTCTTTCTCGTGGCAGCTTCCTCCGTTCACATAAACGCCACAGCGGGATGCAATGTTTTCTTTTTATGCTTTAGACCTGATATGAATGACACAGCAGACTGCACGGCGGCCTACTTGGAGGAAATACAAAGCGAAACACAACACGCCACGGTAGCCAGACAAGCATCTCCATTCGTTCCAGCTATCTTGATATAATTTGTTAAAAATCGCATAAATCACCGTTATAGAACATAAACTATGACACAAACGCTTGATATGTATACTCGCTAGACGCTTTTAGTTAGAGTTTTTCATTTTTTATGCGAATTTGTTTAATTTTATTTTAAACATTCTTCGCAAAAATTACTTGAATGATATAGTTAATAATATCAGATATTATTAATATCTAAAAGGTTCGTTTGGCTCACTGTAGCCATAGATTAATGACAAGTGAGAAAACATGTGAAAATTCTGACTAAACAAACACACAAATGCATTAAAATAAAAAATTTTTCAATAAATCATATTTGTAATAGAACAGACTTGTGAAATATGTTAAAGATTCTGTGACAATCAATAAATAAATAACTAATAAGATAAATAACTATTTATCTAAAAATTCTAATTCAAAAGAATTGTAAAATCAAATTAACTAATAAAATAAGACTTATTATATGTTCGTTATATATTCAGATCAAGACAAATATCAAGAATATAATTATTACTTTTATGATTAAAATCAAAGAATGATTATTTTAATGTATGTTGCAAGAATTTTCATCACTTGTTTCATCTTGTTCTCTCACTTCTGATGTCATAATTCAAAATAAACCAACAGAAGCTTTAATTACACACTTAATAAACGTTTAGGTGCACATATTAGAATGTCTAAATAGATTAATGTACATAAATATGACTGCCACTTTACTGCCACTTATATTAAATCATAACGCAAAAAATAGTTGCATCTTTTATAGTGCTCAAGCAAATTTTAATTATAAAATAAGAAAAGAAATGTGAACATAGTTAGCAAAATTTTTTTAAAAAATACTCATAAAATTATATAATAAAAAAAGTATTGCAATCTGAAATTATTTATACATATGTTGCTACAATAGCAAAAAACCACCTAAACTACAGGATAGAAATTTTATATAAATGTATTCTTTTATAAATATAATAGTTATAAATAGTTATATATAAATAGTTATATATAAAATTAATATTCAATTAATAATACTGCATTCATGAATCATATTATTTATCTGAGCATCTTTTTTCTCACGATAATTTTGAAATATTAATATCGAAATATATTATTAATACCTAGCTGATTTTTAATAGATATTTAAATTATGCATATATTAAAGACATTATTCTATTCTTGTGGTAGAAATTATTGAAAGATAAATAGCATTATTAACGTTTTGAATATACCTAATTTTAATAAGAATTTACATTGTGTATATATCAAAAACATTATTCTATCATCGACAGAGATATATTAAAAGATGAACAATACCGAGATATTATTAATGCCTTAAGCTAATTTTAATGGGTTTAATTTAGATTATGCACATATTAAATACATTGTTTTATTCTCATATAACAGAAATTAAAAGATGGGTAATTAAAATATTATCAAAGTTTTAAACACATTTTATTTTAATAAATATTTAGATTATGTGCATATTAAAGACATTACTTTATCCTCGCCATAAAAAATATTGAAAGATAAATAATAATTTCAGAACATTCTTAACATTCCACTAATTCTGATAAATATTCGGATTCCACTCTTGCCATAAAGAGCAATAAAGAATAAATTATAAATGTTAATATTTTAAATTCAGATTTTAATGTGTACATATTAATGTGTAATGTAACAATTTTAATTTAACAATTTCAATTTCTCACTTAATGATCTTTTTTATATAAAAAAAAAATTTCGTCAAATTTTAATATTATTTAAGATATTCAAATTAAAGAGAGAAGGAGAATTGAAATCAATATTATTAAAACTCCTCGGAATTCTTAATTGCACGTTACAATTTGTGTATGTCACAAATTACGAAATTTATGACATACAAATTTAATGTAAATTGATGTTTGACCTTTCGAGAGACGATTATATCATGCAAAGAACATAAGTAAAGAAGAAAGAGCATTTCGTATTCACTTGGCTACCATCTGATTGTCAAGTCGTACGTAGGCGGCTGATGCAAACGCGATGTAAAAATCATGAATGTTGTACTTTGTTCGCCAACGCAAGCACACGGCTAACATTGTCAAGGTTTAATGACGGCCCTGTGCATCCATTTTTGCAGTTTTCGCGCAGCACGTGTGTGTATGTGTGGACAATTCTTGATACGAGGATTCAAAGTTCTCCGATAGAAGCCGGCCCAGCTGTTTGCAGATATCTCGTCGCGTGGTGAGTCATAAATTATCAAAAGATTATTGTTAATCGTCGACTAAATAATCATCGTCCATGTAAGAATGCCTTTTTTTTGGTTGCGTAATAATTATTATTTTATGATCGGTCACATACGTATTTCGCTGATAGATGCTCAACATCAACATCACTTTACGTTTTTGCGTTATTCTTTTTGCATTCATAAATTCTGAATCATCCTTTCTAATTGACCGTACCTTTCGCGATTTTTCACGATGTTAATTATCAGCTGATTTTATCGTGCATCTAACAGTCGTCAACCACGTCAATTATTGCATACGATCGCAATAAACAGCGATTACGGATCGATCAAATTCCATTCATATTCGCGATTTAGTATTCATTAATCGTAAAACTTATTATAAAATTCTTGCATGAAGTAACGAGCGCGGGGGGGAAAAGCGACGGAGAAAAAAGCGGTTAATCGCTAGCGACCCTAATTTGATACTTGAGCGCGAGAACAACGATCGTCATTGCGAGGCAAGAGCCCAGTTTATCTTCGATTGGCGAATAACGGCTCAGAAAGGTCGATCACTTTCCTGCTTGCGTAAAAGAGAAGGTTGCA